TACACACACACACATACACACCACAGCTTCTTTATTCAGTCATCTTTTGATGGACATTTAGGTTGTTTCCATGCCTGGCTACCTGGCTATTGTAAATAGTGCTGCTGTGAACATTGGGGTACATGTATCTTTTTGAATTAGAGTTCCCTGTAGATACATGCCCAGGAGTGGAATTGCTGGATCATATGGTAAGTCTATTTTTAGTTTTTTAAGGAATCTCCATATTGGCCATTCTGACTGGTGTGAGCATTGGATTCCTCTTCAAGCCTTAGTGAAAAGCGGGAGATAATAGCAATAACCCCCCAGGATGGTTGTTGGTATTAAGTGGATAATCCATGCAAAGCACTTAATGCAGTGGGGCTGGTGTGGAGTAAATGCCCTTGCATGTTGGCAGTTCCTGGGATCACCATCATGTTCTCCAACAGGACTCTTGAACTCTCTCCCTTCTCAGGGCAAGAGGTCCTGTACAACAGCTATGAAAAGCATTGACTCAGTGCCAAATGGTCTGGGTTCAAATCTCAGTTCTTCTATTTACCAGATCTCAGGTGAGTCACCTGTATGGCTCACTAGGGCTGGCACAACAGAATACCCCAGACTGAATGACTTAAACAACTGAAGTTTATTTGTTCACCGTTCTGGAAGCTGGAAGTCTAAGCTCAAGGTGCCATTGGGGTTGGTTTCTGGTGAGGGCTCTGTCCTTGGCTTGCAGATGGCCACCTTCTCCCTGTCCTAACATGGCCCTTTCTCTGTGCATGTGTATTCCTGGTATCTCCTCCTCTTTTTACAAGGACACCAATCCTGTTGGATTAGGGCCCCACCCTTATGGCCTCATTTAGCCTGGCGTCATCCTGAGGGGCCCCATCTCCAAATCTAGTCAATTTTGGGGTTAGGGCTTCTCAGCATATGAATTTGGCATGGGCACAGTTCAGTCCATAACATCAGTCACCTACTTTGTGCTTCAGTTTCCCCAGCTCTAAAAAAATGTTCATCATGCCTACCTCTGAGGGTTGTTTGGAGGATTGAATGAATGTAATGCTCTTAGTCCAGAGTCTGATTTCTAGCAGGCACTGTATGACTTTAGTAATAACAGGATAAATAAGTATCATCCTCGTGGACATTTCCTATA